AGAGAGAGAGAGTTTTCCATCGATAGAATGAGACACACACCCAACATACACTATGTGTGTGTGTGTGTAAGTGTGTGTTGTGTGTGTGTGTGTGTGTGTGTATGTTGCTCATTCTATCGATGGAAATCTCTCTCTCTCTCTCTCTCTCTCTCTCTCTCTCTCTCTCTCTCTCTCTCTCTCTCTTTCTCTTTCTCGGCTAGCCACGTGTTTTTTCATAGGAGATGGCTATGGCGGGATCTTAGGACTAGCGGGAGGAGGGGCGGGACGAGCGGGAGGAGGAGCGGGAGGAGCGGGCGAAGCGGGCGGAGGGATGGGAAAAGGAGCGGGAAAAGGAGGGGTGGGAGCAGGTGCGAGAGAAGGAGCGGGACGGGAAATCCAAAGGGGCGGAGGGGCCGCGGGAGGAGGAGCTGGAGAAGGAGGGGCGGCGGGGGAAACGGGAACGGGGTTAGGAGCGGGAGAAGGAGCACGAGGAGAAACGGGAAGGGGCATAGGAGGCGCGGGAGGAGCGGCGGTAGAAGGAGTGGGAGGGAGAGCGGGAGCGGAAACGGAGAGGGGGTTAACGAACGCGCGGGAGGCGGAGGACATGGAGCAGATATAGGTCGAGGGGGAGGAGGAGGAGCAGAGGGAGGAGCAGCAGGAGAACGCCCGGGAGCAGGGCTATGGCGGGATCTTTGTCACGTTGTTTGGCGGAGGAGGAGTGGGAGGGGGAGGAGGAGGAGGAGGAGGAGTGGGAGGAGCGGGAAAAGGGGYGAGAGGAGGYGTGGGAGAAGGAGCGGGGAGCTGTCATGTTTTTTTTTTAGTGTATAGCGAATATGCCGCCGAMARAAAAAAAAAATGATAAAAAAAAACGAGCAAAATCGGAATGAATGTTCTGCTAAAACATGAAAATATATACTCGCGCTTTGTGGCCAGGGGGACCTGTGTGTTCATGCATTCGTCATTCCTCTGCATGACAATCCCATCAGCAGGACTATCGTTTCCATGAAGAAAGAGAGTGTGAGAGAGAGAGAGAGAGAGAGAGAGAGAGAGAGAGAGAGAGAGAGAGAGAGAGAGAGAGAGTTTTCTACCCATGCACGCAAACAGATAGAGAAACAGTACTTCCATTGATAGGATGAGCAAGAATATGGAACTACACACTGCTTTCCAGCCATGCTACTTCCTTCATCGATCGTTGTCAAGATGAAAAAGCAGAAGTAGCTATGCCAGATACATGGAAATATATAGTTCCGCCGTCGGCTTGCTTATCAAAGTCGCGACAAAAATTGTTGAATATCGTCAAACATAACTGCCCGGTAAACCGTAGGCAGAGAGGGAGAAGAGGACAACAAACGGGGGGCTGTGACAAACTGTATCGTCGGAGTTTCCCCAATTCATCTAGACTATCACTCACCCACACCAGATGGAAATATAAATATATAGCATCACATAATACGACAACAACCTCCCCTGTTTAGAACCTGTTGTGTACCACGCACTTATATCGTCGTTATCCCGGAGGAAAAAAAAACAAAAAAAACCTGCGTATATTTCCATGTTCGACGCCTGGATTCATTCAATTTTGCCTCCACGCAGAGACATAGAGAGACGGTGCTTCCATCGCTGCGACAATCCGATCACCAGGATGACAATCGTTTCCATGAAGGAAGAGAGAGAGAGAGAGAGAGAGAGAGAGAGAGAGAGAGAGAGAGAGAGAGAGAGAGAGAGAGAGAGAGAGAGAGAGAGAGAGAGAGA